AAAGCTAGCCTTATGCTCCATGTCCGAGTGAAGTGGGAACACTTCAGGAAGACTGGAGGAAATTTCCAAAACCTCACCCAGTGCCGTAAGTGCCAGGGATGCTACATGCCAGCTAAATGCATGAATTGTGGTGATTCCTCTCACGCAAAGGACGACTGCCCTGTGAAGGAAGCTCCTAAGAAATTTAAATGTTCAAATTGTGGTGAAAACCACAAATCCAAAGCGATCTTACAATCTTGTTTTAAGTGCAGGTAGGAAACGCTCCACGTTCACGACCAGGTACAAATTACTCTGCTGCTAACAACGGTCAGCGAGGAACAAATTCTACTCGCTGCTAACAATGTTCAGCGAGTTAATGGGGCTACCTATGCGGGTAGAAATCAAAATACTAACCAACGTAATTCTAACGGAAATTTTGACAATTTTGACATTTGCCCCTAAAATGGAATTTTTACAGAAATCATTAATTGACATGATTTCTGATATGCTTAAATCTAACTCCATGTTTGATGCTATTCAAACTGGAGTTAAATTTGCAAACAATATTGTCATGACTTTAAAATTCAGTAATCGATTTTAAAGCATTAAATATTTTAAATTGGAATGCTCGATCTCTTAAAGATAATGAAGACGAGCTATTTAACTTTTTGAGAGTTCATAACGTGCATATTGCCGTTATAACCGAAACGTTCCTTAAACCTGACCATAAGGTTAAGAAGGACGCAAATTATTTCATTTATAGAAATGATCGTCTTGATGGACCTTGTGGTGGCGTTGCCATCATTGTTCATAGACGAATCAAACATAAAATTCTTTCTTCATTTGAAAACAAAGTTTTTGAAACTTTGGGTGTTTCTGTTGAAACAAAATTTAGACAACTTACGTTTATAGCTGCCTATTTGCCATTGCAATGCGTAGGCCAGCAAAAAGTTTCTCAAGGGTGACCTTCAGAATTTTACCCTATATGTCTAAATTCTTCATTATTGGTGATTTTAATGCAAAACACCGCTCATGGAATAATGCTCAAAGCAATTCCAATGGTAATATTCTGTTTGATGATTGTTCTGCAGGTTATTACACTATTCAATATCCAAACAGCCCAACATGCTTTCCTTCTGCAAAAAATCCCTCGACTATTGATTTGGTCTTAATTGATTCATGTCGACTTTGTAGCCAATTGGTTACCCATGCTGACTTCGGTTCTGATCACCTTCCAGTAACATTTGAAATATCCCAAGAAATAATTTGCAATCCCAACAGCTCTTCTTCCAATTACCATAGAACTGACTGGGAGCAATATCGAACATTTATGGAATATAACTTCGATCCAAACATTCCTTTGCAAACCAAAGATGAAATTAATTATGCTCTTGAATTTCTGACTACTTCTATAGTTGAAGCAAGAGCTGCTTCAGTACCAAAATGCGAGGTTAAATTCGATTCAATTATAATAGACGACGATCTTCAGCTCTTGATCCGTCTTAAAAATGTCCGTAGGAGACAATATCAAAGAACATGCGATCCTGCCATGAAGGTTATCTGGCGGGATTTGCAAAAATAAATTAAAAAGCGATTCTCTGCCCTGAGGAACAAAACTTTTGAAAATAATATTTCTAAATTAGACCCGAGTTCCAAACCCTTTTGGAAACTCACAAAAATTTTGAAAAAACCTCAAAAGCCTATTCCAGCGCTTAAAGAAGGTGGTAAAATTTTGATCACAATTTTGGAAAAAGCTCAGAAACTTGCTCAGCAATTCGAGAGTTCCCATAATTTCAGTTTGGGTCTTACTAGTCCTATTGAGAATCAGGTTGCTCGGGATTTTCTGAATATTTTCTCTCGGGAAAATATTTTTGATGATTCCTGGGGGACTGATTTGGACGAAGTAAGCTCTATGACCAAAAAGTTTCAAAATATGAAAGCTCCAGGTGATGATGGAATTTTCTATATCCTCATCAAAAAACTCCCAGAGAGTACCTTATCTTTCTTGGTAAAATTATTTAACAGATGTTTCAATTTGGCATACTTTCCTGATAAATGGAAAAATGCTAAAGTTGTTCAAATGTGGAAGCCGGATAAAAATACAGCTGAAGCTTGTAGCTACCGTCCAATAAGTTTGCTTTCTTCAATAAGTAAACTTTTTGAAAAGATAATTTTAAATAGAATGATGCTTCACATCAATACGAACTCAATTTTTGCAGATGAGCAGTTTGGATTTCGCCATGGGCATTAAACTCTTAAGAGTTACCAATTTAATTCGTTCAAACAAATCTGAAGGCTACTCCACTGGAGTTGCTCTTCTAGACAAAGAAAAAGCATTCGACAGTGTTTGGCATGAAGGTTTGATTGCTAAATTGAAAAAGTCTAATTTTCCACGCTAAATTATGAAATAAGTTCAAAATTATTTAAGTGACAGAACTCTGCAGGTAAATTATAAAAAATCCAAATCTAATCGACTACCTGTTAGAGCAGGAGCTCCTCAGGGTAGCATTCTTGGGCCTATATTGTATAACATTTTCACTTCGGACCTCCCTGATTTGCCTCAGGGTTGCCACAAATCTTTGTTCGCTGATGACACAGGCATTTCCGCTAAAGGAAGAAGTCTTCGTGTTATTTGCAGCAGATTGCAGAAAAGTTTAGATATTTTCTCTTCTTATTTACAAAAATGGAAGATTTCTCCCAACGCTTCCAAAACTCAACTTATAATATTTCCACATAAGCCTAGAGCTTCCTTTTGAAACCTAGTAGTAGTCACATATTCACTATGAACGGAGTTCCAATTTCCTGGTCAAACCAAGTGAAATATCTTGGATTAATACTTGACCAAAAATTAACTTTTAAAGATCACATTGAGGGCATTCAAGCTAAATGTAACAAATATATTAAATGTTTGTATCCTCTTATAAACAGGAAATCCAAACTTTGCCTGACGAATAAACTTCTAATATTTAAACAAGTTTTTAGACCGGCCATGCTTTACGCTGTGCCAATATGATCTTGTTGTTGCACTACCAGGAAAAAGCACTTCAAAGGATTCAGAACAAAGTTCTGAAAATGATTTTGAAGTTGCCTCCCTGGTACAGTACTACCGAAGTAGGCATAGAATTTCGAATGTTGAGACTTTAGAACAAATGGCCAACAAAATAATTAGTAATTTCAGGCAAAAACCGTTGCAATCCTCAATTGCAACGACTAATTCCCTTTATACTTAGATAAGATTTAGTTTTAGTTTTTAGTTTTAAGATATCAATTGTTATAATGACATGCAGGTTTAAAAAACCTGTTTAAATACTGAATTGCCAAGACAGAAACAATGTAAAAACACTTAGCTATATATCATAACAATTAAGGCTGGTAAGTTACTGTAGTAACTGGAGCACCTAGGTTAAAATGAAATGTAATTTATTTTGAAATTGGAACAAATAAAGAGAAGAAAAAAAACCTGTCTGCTGAGACGCTGATTGGCTCTTTTCCAGAAGATCATCACTGCAGCGAGCAGCGTTGCCAGGTCATTTTCAGAAAAATCTGGACCAGTTAAAATAAAAAATCTGGAAAAACCCGGAATGCTCCAAACATCCTGTTTTTAACATAATGCTATTGAAATCAAAGTGATGTGCCAATTTCCCGTAGAAATCACTCAGTATGATCAACCGGTGGAAACTAACGATTTAAAATTGGCTCACTACTTGACTAGCCTATTGGTTCCAAGCAAATCGATTAACGTACCCCATTCTAGTCGACCTAGGGACCGAAGATAGAACCAGAGATGAGCCAAAAAGTTGAGCACGTTTCTTTGGGACCTTCTGGTCTTAGAGTAGGCTATCTGAGGCCCCGATAATGTTTATAAAAATAGGGTAAACTAGTGTTTATGTTTTATAATAGTGTTTACAGTGACTGCCCATGATTGAAGGATGATAAATATGTGATACATCAAAAGTTTTTTTTTATTGGAATCTAAATTCTTACATTGGGATTCCTGAACCTTATCAATATACTAAGGCTTGTTAGTTTGCTTAAGTTCTTAATTTTTTATTCTTCCTAGGTGTGAAAAAAAAACAGGGCAAGTAAATCGTTCACTTTCCTTTTTAGTAAGTTTCAAGGTTGAAATATTTATAATTCCATAATTTGCAGTACTTTTATTGAAGGTCTTTTTTGTGATTGCCGAATCTCCAGTTCAGGAATTTTAATTAATTATATGGTCAACAAAAAAATCTTAAGCGTAAATTTGTAAATTTGTTCTGTAGCCCATAAAACCGCATGAGTACTCGATAACAAGATGATTATATCATATGAGCTTCATGTCCACACGCGTCTTATTATAAATTGATCAGAATCTTCTTCTTGGAGACCATCTGTTAAAATTTAAATATGTAAGAAGGGTCCAATCTCACCATAGGTGGATAAATTTAGGTATTTGTTTTAAAATTAGTCCTGCTGTGACGATGCGAAAGGAACTACATCTCATTCGTAAGAAATGATACAGAAAAAAAAAGTTATACAGCCACGATTTATTCGTCTGTCGTCGAAAGAAAGGACCATAAAACCTCGATTTTCACCGTCAAATTCCCTTTCTCTCTACTAGTTACCTTTTTATTCTTCTACTTTGGGCCTGATTGCATGTATGAGCCATAAGTTGCAGGGAGTCAACATGGTGACATAGATATGGCTACCAAACCAAAACACGACGTCGAGGCAGGCGGGCAATAAACATTTGACCCAACTCAAGGAAACCACAAATATTAGCTAAACTGAAATGTATCCTGTTGACCGGTTGTGCTTTTTTTTTTTTTGCTTTATTCCTTTTGCTTCAATTGGGCTTATGGCTAAGAGGGTTTGGTTGAAAAATGAGGTCCTGTTGAAATGTTTTGCTTTGCGACAGGAAATCTAATGGCCCATTCCAGTCAGGAAGTGCGATTTGCATAAATTTAAATGCGGTGGCAGTTTGGCAGCCATCTGACGGTACTTGGCGGAAAAATTCGTTAACTTAACAGCCCTCTACTCACCATCCGGTACGAAAATATTCAGCAACAGACAATCCTCGTCGTACTGCTTCTCTCCATCGTCGGCCGTTTTGATCAGCTCCAAAAACAACTGATTGTGCCGCCGGTGGGTCTCCCGGGGTGACGGCCAGCACTGTGGTCCAAAAGTGGATGCATTCTTAATCCCTTCCCAACTTGGTAGCCCATCAACGACCGGAGGCGTGAAACGTTTCTCGTCGGTCGGTGCCTGAGCGTACGGAATTCCCAGATACGCCGTCACTCGTTGAGTTCTGAACATCTTCAAGTACGTTCCCACCACTGTGCCCTGGTTGGGAATCTCCACCATCGGAGGATCCCGCGAGACACATTGCCGGACAATGGCCACCATCACCAACACCAGCACCAACAACAATCTATTGCGTGTCATTTTTCTTCTTGAATTTAAACTTTTTGCACTTATTCATATATGAATGAAATCAAAACCAACAGCTTCGCCAAAAATAAAACTTCTCTATCCTTTTGGTTTCTGTTGTTTCGTCGGACGGAAACGAAATCCACGGGAAATGGGAACAACAGCACCGAGTAACATAAAGCACCAACACTTGCAAAACTGCAAATCAAACCGAAAGTCCCGAGAGACTGGTAACCTAAAAACAATACTGGAGCAGTAAATCTAATAATTGCCGGGGGTGGGGATTTGAATTTGAACCGTGCAACTACGGGTCGAGGTGCTCCGTTGGAATCCTCCCGGTCGGCTCGAGCGTTGAACGACGAATGGAGCCAGCGAAACAGCCAGAAGGCACTCTTCTCCCATAGGGCTCTGGAAAGGATATTCACACTCACAGAGAAGCCACCGACGACGGTCGGGTTTCAGCCGTTTTCCACAACCGGGGAATGTGAGTCACGCGAAGGAGCAAGCGACCCCAACTTCGGGAAAACTGAATGCAAGCTACTTCTATAGCACCCATCATACCTTCCCTAGGTATGGTTAGTGAGTTTTTATGATTTGAATTGCGACTGCCGCCGCCGCCACCGTCGTCGTCGTTGACTCGGCCGATATGGAGGTACCTGCCGCGTGGTGCCAGGTGCCACCCAGTGTGGGTTGGCATGTAAATCTCAAGCGTCGCCTTCTTCGTGTCACTGAACGAAGTTTCCGTTTTGTTTCAAGTACCGTGAGGATGTGATTTTATGCACGTTGAAACAGTTGTGCGATAGTTTGGTTTTAAAAAGATACTTTCGTTAAAGTGATGCCACTAATAATAATTTCCGTGCATGGAAAAGTTGAATACTCTTTTTAGTTTCAATGGTAAATATTGGAAATAATGAAAAATAGTGGACATTTGGGGTGAAGTTGATCATGACAAAGTTCAGTTTTTTCAATCATAAATTGAAGTAGAATGATGTTTAATAAAGAAAACCAACTATATTCAAAGGGCCATCGAGATAGGGAGACATCGCAATTAGAACAGTAATTGATTAGCCTATTAGCAACCGGTGGAAACTAACGATTTTAAATTTGCTAATCATAAAGGATTTCCGAGAAACAGTGGTGGGTGAACGGTACCACCCACCGCATAGAAGGAGGGGTTAATGTACCGAAAAAGAAATCGACCACATCAGCCGAAAATGGAGACGGAGCCTTCTTGACGTCCGGAATAAATGCAGCACTGACATGGCGTCTGACTATCACCTTCTAATTGGTGAGATCCGCCTACGCATTGCACAGCTCCAGCGGAGGGAGGATAAGCTCGGACGGCGATTCAACACACGCCGACTAGAAGATAAAGCTGTCAAATGATCGTTCGTTGAAGAACTTGAGACTCGAGCAGCGGATGCTCCGGAAGGTGGCAGTATAGAACAGAAGTGGAAGTGTGAACGAATCAGGATATCAAAAATGTGTCAAGAGCCAACCCGAGGTGCCATGAATGACTCTAAATTCTACCGAAAAATGACAACACTGCTCCAGTAGAATCAAATAGAATCCGATATCTCGGTTTCGTTTCAAGATAGCGACATCGAATTTTCAGCAAAGTTGGGGTGGTCAGAGCCGAGAGTCATCCAGGGCGGCCATAAATGACTCATACTTCAGCAGATAGATAGTGTCGCGCTAGCAATCAGACAATAGAAGCTGGAGAGATTCGAGGCAAGTGTGTGCGTCGTTCTACAATGTTCTACAATGTGCGTCGTTCTACACAGCAAAAAAATAATTTTGATATCACGTCAAAGTGGATGCACTACAATCATGTCGAAAATATGGTGTAATATTACTTGCTAAAAAGGACAAAATTATCATTGATACAATGCATGAACTGACATTACGCTGCTTTTACTGCATTTGTTTATTTATGTGGTCATAAAAATTACATGAAATTTTCGACATGATTGTAGTGCATCCACTTTGATGTGATATCAAAATTATTTTTTTGCTGTGTACAAGCTTACTGGTATAGTCGAAAGCGTAGATAGAACACGAAATGAAAAAGACAAAAAACCATTACATCGCCTGTAAGGTCAACTTCTAACATTCGCTGCGATGTTCATGAACAGAGGATGATAGGAAACGGAACTAACATTCATTGTAATAGATTTTTGGTTTGCGTGTACAAATGCAAGTGATGCGAGGATTGCTATGATGTTTATCTTGTTGCCAAATTCATGTTTTTTTTTTCTCCGCTGGTCTCTTATTCCTGTGTTTCTACTTTAAATATAATTCTAATCTCAATTTAAGTGAAATAAACAATTTAGCAACAAATTATTCCTTGATCGTTTCAAAATCTTACCTACGCACTAGCACACTTTAGAAATGACTTTAGAAAATGACTTTTACTTTCTATTGTTTTGACATACATTAGCCGCGTCATCACCATCTGACAGAACGGCTTTCAGTCCATTAGCCAGGGCCGTAGTTAGGCGCATCGTTGTGTCAACTTTGATATAGGTAAGCGGGTTCGTCACAAGCGTAGGGTTGTGACCCTCCCCCTCGGTTCGCCACTGTTTTGAAGCGGCTTACCACCATTAGAACCGACATCTAACACCGCAACCTTAGCCTCTGGCCTCGTCAGAAGTCCACTAGATGTCTGCACGGTCACGCGTCACGTGCCATCTACGATCAACACCAGATCGCCTTCCTCGATGGATTTCGAACCAATTTGAACTGTCAAAATCGAACCATTTTAGCTCATATGGAAGAATCAGATAGGGAGTATTGTAATCTGAGTAAAACGTAGTTGTTATTATTTTTGGAAACATATTCATAGTTCTGATGAACAAACGTATTTTTGTTTTTTTAATTTATTAAAATAAATATAAACAAATAGAGTACAAAAAAAAATTAGCAAGAAAATCTTACAGCATCAAAGATTTGCTACTGAATCGTCTCTTCTTCACTTTCATCTTCTGCATGTTTTTCAAACGATATGTTAAAAATGAACGGATCAATTTTGCTTGAATATCATGGCATTTAGGCAAATTAATTGGAATTTGGAGGAGTATGGAGAACATAGCTTTTTTAACATCCACCTTTTCTTATTTTACTTGCCGAATATAATATGAAAATATTTTGTTCATTGCCAGAAAATACTCATACAAATCGTGATTTATGAAAACGCTTTCTAGTCGGTTTGAACTGTGGAACAATGCAAACTTGGCAAAGCCAGTCTTAGATGGTTTTTCACAAATGCAATGTTCGTAACATTTAGAGCAAATGTTGCCTATTTTTTCAATCGCTTCATCAACATACATGCGACATAATAGATCATGTTTTTCTGAGCATTGTTCAAATTTTCATCACAAATATCAATTCTGAATTTCTCACCAACCGGAAGACAGAAGGCTGTTTCGTCGTTCATCCTAGAGGTTTTTTTCCGAACAGTACTCTATCAGATGAGATCGTTCATCACTCTCGTATGAAGAGCCGCCAACGTCAGACATGTATCCTGAAATTGTGATCGTACGAAGGGAGTTCCGAAACTGGACTGCGTTTGGACGTGATTGTTTTGCTCGCACTTGGGAAAACAGATTTTCAATACAGTCTTGGACAAATCGAGACGATGGAAGAGGCTGTAGGGATAAAAAATATATTAAGAACATACACAAATATATAAAAAAATATGAGGCAGAAACAAACCATTGGAGTATCTAGACTGTCGAACAAGCGTGTTTGCAACCGAATAACAGCTTTAGTTGCTATTATCACTGATGATTGCCATGGTTTCCAAGCTCCTTTTTCACCACCTTTTCACCAATCTGAAAAGGGGGGTCAGTGTTATTATCTAGAGGTATGTCAGTGAGCGGTCTTGTGTTCAACATCATTTCGATCTCCATTAGCATGGAACGCAGAATTTCATCCGAAGGCAAACGCAGGGGGTCGAAATCGTTCATGGTCTTCTTAACAGACTGGATCAAGCGCCCCCAGCATCCACCAAAATGTGGAGCGGCCGGAGGGTTGAACGTACACTTGGTGTTAGGGCCGACGAACTCGACCATCAGCATCTTAGCGGTGGACCCCTTCTAGCAACAAAATTGCGTAGCGCTAGGATGCACGAGTCTGTCGTCAGCGAATGTGCAATTTCAATAAGCACGCCTCTGCTTGTCATGAAGTGAGAAGCACTCCCCATCTTTTCTCTGTACGTCTGCCGACTAGCACTGGCATCGGCCCGAAATAGTCGACTCCGGTGTAAGAAAACGGTCACTGGAATAGTACCTACCGGGCAGCTGAGAGGTTCCCCATTGCTGGAGGCCTGGGACTCGCTTGCCAAATTTTGCAACGCTGACAGTTTCTGCGAACTCGTTCGAACTCTGTACGGAGACGGGGGATGTTGTACTTTAGTCGAATCTGGTTCAGCGCAGTGTGGTGATTCTGGTGACGATATCTAGCGTGGTACTCGGCGAGCACTAGATCGGATGCGTAGTTGCGCCTGGCCAGAAGGATCGGATTCTTGGTAGATTCATCTACATACTCGCAGTCGCATGCATCAATACGTCCACGCATCCGTAGAACACCGTCCTCGTCGATGAATGGGCTGAGCTTATATAGCGGGCTAGTCTTCGGCAAAGTACGCTCCCATGACTGCGTCTCTGGATTACTGCTGCAGATTAGTTGGATTTCGTCCAGGTAAGCTTGCTGTTGAACGTGTCGATAGATGATGCTCTTGGCACGATTTAATTCCTCCTGCGTTAGCGGGCCAAGTTCTGTGGCAGTTCTATTGATACGCTTACGAAGATTCACTACAAAGTGATGAACGTATGCAACTGTCCTCAGCAGCCGTTACCATTTGGAGAAGCGTTGAAAACATAACAAAGGTTCGGTGATTGTATGCTGGAGAACGCTGAGACGGATTTCTTCCGTGGTTGAGCCTTGATCTCCGCCATCGCCAGGCCATTCGCTTTCAGGTTCCCACAAAAAATCAGGTCCACGGAACCAACGACTGTTTGGCTGAAAGTCCGGTAACCGTGCCCACTTCGTCCCATCGTCAGCTACGTTCTTTTTGATCGGAATCCATCTCCACTCGTTTACAAGTGTTGTATATAGTAACTCGCTGATCCTGAATGCCACAAATTGGCTGTAGCGTCGGTGATCAGAGCGGAGCCAGCATATCACATCACGGGAGTCGGTCCAGAAAACCCGCCGCGATATTTTCATTCGATGTGAGTTAGTGATACATTCAGCCGCTTGTAATTCAAGTCGCGGGATCGAGAGGAATTTCAAAGGGGCCACCTTTGTTTTTAAGCCAACCAG